ACACACACATGAATAATATAAATAAAGAAATAAATAACCCAATATACCACGAATTAAGCAACATCTACACAGAACAACATAACAACACCCCACCAAGTACCCCCACCACATCTACGCCCACAAAATCATAACTCACTCAAAACGAAGACAGCACACACACACACATACCCAGCAGGTCCAGCAGTATAACACACGCAGTCACAGGAGCGAGACGCAACATAGAGCACAGTGAGTATTAAACATAAAAATTATAACACCACAAGTAATAAATAGGATGCGGAACGCGGTATTAATGAATAACAAATTCATGTTACAGATACACGATATTGAAAGAGTGCTCCAACAGAAGATGATAGAAGTGACTCGCGTAATGAAACACGACGTAGGAATGAAATATCCTGTACAATTTTAATATTTTAACACTTAACATTTATCAGCATGTATGATAAATATATATTTTAGTTATTTTAGTATGTATAGACAAGGCATGCAATGAACTAGTTTGACGTGGATTGGATCAGCACCTGAAGATGGCACTTTTGAACCGAAACATGTAGTGCGAGTGAGAAGAGGGGATAGATGAATGTATGCACTAGAAGACGGATAAAATAAATCATGGTGATAAGCCTAGTTTAGTTGGGCATTAGGTTTGCGTTATAATTCTTGGAATTATTCCTCAGCTATACACACGTATATGAGCAAACTACGAAAATAATAATTAATCAGTTAAATAACGCTCTAGAGTATGAAGCGCAATGTTAAGCATTTGTAAAAATCGACGAAGTTTACAACAGCATACTTATTTTTTCTGTATGGCTCTCAGAACTAACAGCAGAGAGCTCCCTAAACGTCATTAAGCAGTTCATTGTAATGAAGGCGTGATTATTTTCTGTGTTGTAGGAACACATTTTTAAAAATATTATTTAGATAAATTTCGAGCGTCAAATAGTTATTAGTTAATTGTTAATATAACATTACTATTTATCTATTTGCTGTTTTGTCTCTTCAAGGTATATCTGGTGGAATTAATGATGACAATTTGTTAATCTACTCTCAAGTAACTAGACACTTTATTCTAACAGGAAATTATTCCAACGTAACATTCTGTACAGAAGTTTGGAACTTTATCTTATTGATATTACCTCTAGAAACTTCAATACAATACATACTAATACAATTTTCTCCTCTAAATAAAGACGTCAGTCTAGAAGTAAACACAGAGAAGACTAAGTATATGTTGCTGTCTCGTCACCAAAATGCAGGGCAGAATCATGACATAAAGATAGGAAACAGATGTTTTGAAACTGTGGCACAGTTCAGATATTTGGGAACAAAGATAAGAGATCGAAAGCTGATTCAGGGGGAAATTAAGAGGCGATTGAACTCAGGTAATGCTTGCTACCATTCAGTCCAGAACCTTTTGTCTTCTCGTCTGCTGTCCAAAAATATAAGAATTAGAACATACAAAACTATAATTTTGTCTGTGGTTCTGTATGGGTGTGAAACTTGGTCTCTGACATTAAGGGAGGAACACAGACTGTGGGTGTTTGAGAATAGGGTGTAGAGGAGAATATTTGGACCGAAGAGAGTTAAAGTGACAGGAGGTTCAACAAAACTGCATAATGAGAAGCTTCATAACTTGTATTCTTCTCCAATTATAATTAGAATGATCAAGACAAGGAGGATGAGGTGGGAAGGACATGTAGCAGGAATGGGGGAGGAGGAATGCATATAGGATATTGGTGGGAGAGCCTAAAGGAAAGAGACCACTAGGAGGACTAAGGCGTAGGTGGGTTGACCATATTAGAATTGATCTTAGAGAAATAGGATGGGATGGTATGGATTGGATTGATCTGGCTCAGGATAGGGACCAGTGGAGGGCTCTTGTGAACACGGTAATGAACCTTCGGGTTCCATAAAATGCTGGGAAGTTTTTGAGTAGCTGCAGAATTGGCGGCTCCTCCAGAAGGGGTCAGCTCGAGGAGTAGGTAAGTAAGTAAGTAAGTAAGTAAGTAAGTAAGTAAGTAAGTAAGTACACCTTCACTCGAATACTGAGCGTTGCCAGTCTACAAATTCATGGTACATTTGAATCATAAAACGCAAAAGAAAAAAAGGAGCGCTTTCTTCACAACAAGAATCTTAATGTATTTATATCTCGCCGACTTTTTCATTTACAGTTTTGAAGTAATCTGAATTCGAAAATTTAAACTTTATAAAACTGTGTGGAACTTTATTAATTATGAATCTCCTGTTCAGCTTCGTGGCGACGTTTCTTCTTCATCGTCTCTCTCCTTCTGTGACAGGATTTACCTAAAGGAACAGAACACGAATAATTATTGTAAGGCCGATGGAAACGCAATCGCTTTCCTCGTGAGGTGGGAATATCCCGTTCAACTCTTGCCTTCCATACAAGATGTTTGGTTCCTTCAATTGTAGACTCCGTGGCTTTAGTCCGCGAATGCCGCTTGTCGGCGAAGTTAGTGCCAACTTTTGAGGATAGAGGGTGTCGCGTGATCAGCGCAACGGATCCCCACGGCCGTTAATCTCGGTTCTCTAGACCGGAGCCGCTACTTTTCCATTCAAGTAGCTCCTCAATTATCCTCACGAGTCTGAGTGGATCCCTTTCAAGACCCACTACTTCTCAGAAAATCTGGTAGCGTAGGGAATCGAACCCCGACCTCTGGATCTGTAGCCAGCAACTGTGACCCCTAGACCACAGAAGCAGTCCTTTAAATTGTATAGTTATATGTGTATAATCATTTAGAGTTTCATAGTTTAATAATATAATATACACGTAGTTTAATATATTAGACATATAGTTGTGGAATTGTACAAATTGAAATATACTTCTCATATTTTTTATATAAACGTCACTTCACTTTATTAGTGTCGAAATTCGATGAAATTTTGAGACTGTTTTTGCTTTCTATGTATAAAAAGTAAGTTTATGAGACCGTAAATGTCTCTCTGAACCAACTGATCCTCTTTACGAAATTTAGCTTCAAAGCTTTGTCATTCTTTGTCACACTAACGTGACAATTTCTGTTCCACTAAAATCAGCAATACCAACCTTATGGAGGCACAAATTTTTTATGTGGGATCAGCATTAGAGGGATTTAATTTTAGGCCCCGAAATGGTGTATTATAACAGATTTTAGAAAAATTTGCAGCCTTGCTGTAACTTTTGTCTGTTTCCGGTGTGATGGCAGTAAAAGAAGAACCATTTCCGCTCGGCAAGTGAAATATGATATGCTGATATGCTATGTATATTGTATGTAGAGTATTCCTCCTGCTGAAGAGTAACAAACATGGCGGTTATGCGAAACTTTAGGATTGTATCCCACTGGCGGAATCTGCACTGAAACAAGGAATTTATAAAGCAGAATAAATTAGCATTTATGATGTCAACTTCAGTAGCTCTGCAGGATTAGAAACTCGTGAAGGAAGGAAATAAATTTATGAATCTTCCCCGATCTCCTTGTTTCACAAATTGTTACAGCAACAATTGGCTTTGCGATTGTAAAGTCACGTGTTCTCTCAGCCGTAATTAGCATAAAACTCTACCTGCTGCAATGTCGTATGCGGGGTACGAGGGTGCATTGGGGCCGCATAAATGTGCCCCCAAGTCTCTCAAATGTAAAATATTTCACAATGCTTCTCATGCCTTTCTGAGCACGTGACTAAGTTAAGTTCCCATTTTTTATGAAGAAACTTTAGTGATAAAAATTAAAGAAAACCAATGGAGTTTATAGGCTAACGATATGTGAATAAAGGCTAGTAATTCACCCACATGTTCTTACTTTTCTTCTTTACTGGAAATAGTTTTCCTTTTGTACTATTAAAGTTGTTAAACCGTGGAAGCATGATTTTGCTTAAACTAGACAGTGACTTGATTTATTAAGCAATTGAATTTAAATGAAGAAGTGTTTTAATTGTAAAAGTAAGTAAGTAAAATAAAGGTATCCCTGTAACAGGCCGTGAAGGCCCATAGGGTTGTGAGATGTTGAGGTTCCCATATTTTCTAGAAAATCGGATCACAGGTGGCGGTAAGGTTGTCAGCCTTAAGCGCCGGCCGCCCTTTACCCCCAAGAATATTCCTGGTACTCCTTTCTGTTAGATGAGTCGACCCCAGGGCCATAGTGCGACTGAAGGATTAGGTAAATTGAAAAAATCCACCTCATCAGGATTCGATCCCGCGACCTTCCGGCTTGTAGCATAGTGCCTCAACAAAAAAAAGTTAAAACATGATTCGTGAAAACATAAATAAGCCTGTTTGATTTTCATCTCGCTTCATTTACACGGAAACTTGCAGCCTTATATGTCGTAACTTTTCCATGAACATTGCACATGCACGTGAAGTTCTGCAATTTCAGTTTTAAGACGAGTGTGGTTTACGTCAGTTAAGACCTTTAAAGCACAGTGTATGTACTTCATATTTCCATCTTTCCCGTATTAAATAGTCATTATTTTCACGAACTGTATTAAACAGCAAGACTTCCTAATATAGACGCAATCCGTTCTCTGTGTGGAAGGAACTGAATTTTTAACTGTATTTAGGTTAAAATCATGCTTCAGAGGGTTAACCCGAGGAACTAAAAAATAAAAACGCTTAAGCACCACTTTCTACGTATTTGGAAATTAGTATCAATAGAAATCTAAGGAAATGATACTCACTTTGTATCAGGTACTTAGAAGGGCAGTGCTGTAAACAACATTTAAATGACATTAGACACAAGTTTAATTGCATGCAGAAACAAACAAATGATTGGAATAATACAAAATTTTATTATTATCAAAAATGGATCTACAGTAGAACTTGGTTATAACATCATCAAAGGGACCTAAAAATAGTGTCGTTATAAACGAATGTCGTTGTAACCGAAATGGGCACTTCCACAGTAGCCTTATGTTAGTCACGTAAAAATCTACCAAAAACCGAGTTAAAATGTTGCATTTTTTAGTGAAATACGTAGTTAAGTACAGACTAACGTAACATTAACGTGGAATTGCCCAAATGTGTAATATCAAAGACATATTACAGCGCTTTTCACTGACAATACACACCGCACTAATACTGTATATTAAAGGTAGGCCTACTCACCAAATTACAGTAGATTATATCAATTGTTGTGCCTTACTGTACCTAGATACGAGTACAGTATTCAGTTATCTTCATCTGTTTCCTGTTACTTGCCCAATACACACTTACTAAATTACGTTCAATGTCCATATCAGAGAAATTCAGGAATGAAAATGACGTTACAGACGAGGTTGATGCATTTGTGCATGTCGTACTAAGCAAGGTATAAAAACAGTTGCTTTATGAGGAATTAGTTCGTACCATTGAATATTTGACGCAATAAGCAAGGTGTCGCAGAAACCGATGTTGCTATAACCAAGTTTTACTGTATATGTTTGAAAGCTGACACTCCAAAATTCTAAGGGTCTACCAATAGTAAGGCGACAAAATAAGTCGGGATTTTATGTGAAATACATCTAGAGTAAATATTCTGTAATATAAAGAAAGTAAAATCTTTCAACTTAACCATTAAAAATAGGTATATCATTTTTCATTGAAGAGGAATATTTACTTCTGGTTCGAAAACTACTGAAACCTATGTTGCTACTCGTGTTAATTATAGTAAAGTTAAGTTCCTTTTCAATTTATATGAGAATAAAGAGTGGTCTGAAGGCCGAGCCATAGCTCAAGCGGTTAGTCGCTGACTTCCCACAGCGGCAGCCCGGGTTCGATCCCGGGTCTGGTCAAGTGGGATTTGTGGTGGGCAAGGTGGCGCTGGGGCAGGTTCTCTCCGAGTACTTCGGTTTCCCCTGAAAATCTTCATTCCACCAAATTTTCCGTCATCATAATCACCTGGGGCAGGCTACAATAGGCCAATCAGTGGCCGCAGTGCCGAGTGAACCCAGTTGGACTGCCCCCCCCCCCACTAAGGGAATAAAAAAATGGGTGGTCTGAAAAACACACACGTAAGATGCTGCCTCAATGCTACTCCTATAAAACCCATTTGCATTTAACTGTACTAAATATGATCCAATATACAGTTGTTTAGTAAAAATTCTATGTTTCGTAACCCAAAACACAGCAATGTAAATGTTATGGGTTTCGCTCTATTTAGGTATGTCTTTGAATTATTCGGTGTATGTTAACAACATAAGTTTGCAGTCAGTACTTACAAGGTTTTCAAGTTCTGTGATGCATTTTACAAATTTGAAGAGTTCAGTATTCGACGTGTCGCATATTTTGCCCCCCTCATTTAGGTTGTTCATTTCTGTGAAGAAAAGTAACACAGTTAGGTCTAGAAATTAAATTATATCCAGTTTCCTCAAACCACGTTCTTTACAATATCAATGATGAATATAAGTAGAAATTAGAACAGCGAAAACGATTATTCAGTGCAGTGAAAATTAAAATACCCACAGAATTCTCCAGTATGAGCTGAAAGTGCATCCGATTTGCCACACTGACCGTTCTACATAGAACATTTAATNTTTTAATATTATTCATGCACCTACGTCTTGGTATTCATTAGGTTAGAATAAGAAAGTATATACACATATAATAATGCTATTGTTTAATTTATAAACGATTAAATGAAAATGCCTTTGCTTTTTATTATATTTGTTTCGATTAACTTACAAAATACACAAACATAAAATTGCATTTAGATCATTTTTTTCTTGAAGAAAGCAGTCTTCTGGGATTAGACACCGTGTATATGTGGTGTTAACCGACGTTTCGGAGGAACGTATCGCCTCCATCTTCAGGGTAGAAGAAAAAATATAAGAAATCTGCAAGCGAGGAGACCGTGAGAACCGGTAAAAGCACAGTCTGTTTTTACCGGTTCTCACGGTCTCTTCGCTTGCAGATTTCTTATATTTTTTCTTCTATCCTGAAGATGGAGGCGATACGTTCCTCCGAAACGTCGGTTAACACCACATATACACGGTGTCTAATCCCAGAAGACTGCTTTCTTCAAGAAAAAAATGATCTAAATGCAATTTTATGTTTGTGTATTTTGTAAGTTAATCGAAACAAATATAATAAAAAGCAAAGGCATTTTCATTTAATCGTTTATAAATTAAACAATAGCATTATTATATGTGTATATACTTTCTTATTCTAACCTAATGAATACCAAGACGTAGGTGCATGAATAATATTAAAATGGAGCTTAAAGAAATAGGATGGGGTGTTATGGACTGGATTGATATGGCTCAGGATAGAGATTATGGATGGCTCTTGTGAACACGGTTATGAACCTTTGGGTTCCATAAAATTTTTGGAAATTCTTGAGTAGCTGCACAACTGGCGGCTTCTCAAGAAGGGGTCAGCTCAGTTATTCTTACCTGACGTGCTGTACTTAGCATCTCTGATACACCTGTTTATCATGTTCTCCGTTATACCCAAAACCACGGCCCTGCTGTCGCTTGAGAAGAAACTGATCATTTCTTCAGGAAGAATGTTCCCATTTCTCTCGCTCTTGGAAGGGGAAAAACAAAAATTTGAAGTTAGATTGAATTAAGTTTCATGTTCGTCCATTTCTTTTACAATATTATATTTAAGCATCCTGTTACACTCTACACAATGTATGACACAAACTCCGTCCTAAGTGCAACAATTTATTGTAGTTCTTTAGTCTTGTTTTCTTCTACACTACATGTTTTGGCCGTAAATGGTCATCATCAGGTGTATACTCTCACGTAGCTGTTACACTGCACGTAGTTTAAAATTTAAAAACACCAGCTTACTTAATTGTTCATTTCTCCGTTGTTAATAGGTCCCGATATATCAGAATCCCCTCGCTGGTACTTGTCAGATATGTATAAAATCTTTGTTAATTTACATACGTCAAATTTGATTTTTGAATTTTGGTATTTTTAAAATCTTCAATTTAAATTAAAATTTTAAATTTTTTTTTTAAATGTAAAATTCACAGGGACACCTGCTCTAGGTCTACAGTGCTGCAGCGGCTACTTCTTGCTTTCAGCACCGTTCAGGTATTATTCTGTGTGCGTGCTTCTGCTTATCTTTAATACGTGTGCTGTCTGGTGTACTGACACAATACGTATAAATAAAGGGGCTGGAATCATGAACCGTTAAATAAATCGGTACAAACGAAGGAAATTAATGCCGATCACGGTAGCCGAGTGGTCTAAGGCATGCACTGTCTTCGCTCGCTTGGAAACCGGGAGCTGATCACCCACCCAAGGAATACTACTGAATGTGTAAGTTCTAGAAAAACCGAAGTGAACGCAGAAGTTCATGGAGGTAGGCCTAGGCCCACTGGGGTTGTAGTGCCAAGGGGGAGGGGGAGAATTGCAGATCTATTACGCTATATTTTTTTGTATTTCCTTCTTTGACAATCAGATTGTACAATGGAAGTGACCCACTCAAGCCACTGAAGTGTACAATTCTTAACTAATTGTACACAAGGCAGCAAACTGACTAAAAGATTGCAGTAGCTGATTGTCAATAAAGGAGATTAAAAAGAAGATTGTACAACCTATAAGTCAATGAGCTGACCGGTGTACAATATAAAAGCTAACTGTACACTCTACATGGCGTGAACGGAATAAATTTCCAGTGATGTTCTCCTAAGTTCCTTAGATCTGGTGGTCAAAATCTTCTGAGTCCTTGAATTACGCTATATGAGAGGCAGTATCAACTTACCAATCCAAGTTTGTAGCCCACGCACTGAAGGATACACTGCAAGAGGAAAACGACATCATTCATTTTATGGTTTAGTCATCGCATGTTGAAACTGAACAACAAAAACAACAAAAGCAGTTAAATCTATTTACTTACATTAAGAGTAGTCAACTGTCTTGTTGCTTCTTCTTTGTAATCGCCTGAAAAAAATATTAATTATTTATAGTTTATACGCACTTTATTATATTAATAATATTTGTTTCTCTAGAAATAAGTCACCAGTACATATTTTGCTGTAATGTTAAAATGAAATATTAGTTAATTTACAGTGATTTTAGATGTAACTGCTTTTTCCTGTATGTAACTTGAAATACAACTCATAATCTGTTAGCATTACAAGTTCATTTTCAGTAAAGAAAAATATTTTTCTATACACTTTCTCTAAGTAGAATCTGAAAACCATAGAGAAAGCAGTTTTTCTATGACCTCTAAATCATTGAATTATATTTGCAAAAGCCTTCCAGCGGTACGACAATGTCGTCCACATACCCTGCGACATTACTGTCTCCGTGTATTGTGTACATCCGTAATCACACGCGGAAAATAAACATCGTAATTGTCATTTTTTCCCTTATTCTTCTTTCCTGGTTTACTTAAAGATGATGCAACTACTCTATATTCTACGGCGTGTCCCAGGAGGAAAGGTCAATATACTGGAGGACATAGTGTCTGCCATTCTAAGCAAAACGTCTACACGTATATGTACAGTTGTCCTACTCCGAAAGGTTTCAGGTATAGAACTATTTTAACTTATCTCCCGCTTAAGGGAACGTCAAGATGCACTCAGAAGAGCAATATGCCATGTACTCACACGAGTTGCAAAGTGCTTTGATGCTGACGGCGGAATTTTCGTAAATGCATTTTACGCGGTAAACTATACCATCCAAGCGGTCTAAGGCATGCACTGTCTTCGCTCGCTCGGAAGCCGGAATCGTGGGTTCGAATCCAACTCAGGGCATGGATGTTAGTGTGCGTTTTTCTGTGTTTGTGTACAGGTAGAGGCCTTGCGACGAGCTGGTCACCCGCCCAAGGAGCCCTACCATATGTCTACCATATGAAACGGAAAGTTTCATGGAGGTAGGCCTAGGCCCAAACGAGGGCTGTAGCGCCAAAGAAAAAAACTATAGCATCTTTGGCACTCGAACAATAAATACCGGTATCAGAAACAGTACGTAATATCTCTTCTTATAAACAGTTTTCAGCTGTACAGTGAAACAGCTCTATACCGGAAACCGTTCGCAATAGGACACACGTACATATATACACTATTTGCTTAGAATGACCTTTCCTCCTGGGACACGCTGTAAAGCAAGAAACGTTAGGATGATTGGCGATCGAAGAATCTGAACTCACGTGGGAGGAAGCTATCGTGGACTATTATGCGGTAATATCTCGGCACATGTCTAGAGGGACTGAGGAAAATCACGAATAACCTCAGACATGGTATTTGGTGAGCTAGCTAATGTTCGAAACGGATACCTGCCGAATTGAAGCCAGAGACAATATCGCTGAGCCACTTTGCTCAGTTCGAAACTTTTCCTACGGAATGGATAATTTTATCACTTTGTTTGGGACGTATTCTCACTCACTGGGTTTGAGGTTTTCAATAGGGTGACTGAGTTCGGTCTTCTATGTTGCATCACTGTGCCTTTCCATATTTTCATATCCAGCGTCGAAGAGTAAGCCACGCTACAAAGAGCAGAAGCAGACAGCTTCACTACAAGCAGAGACTGACTGTCGTTGTTCCGTTGCCTAGGCCTTACTGCAGTACTGGAAGTGACAGCCCCATTCATCGGTGTTTTCTGTGAGGTTCGAACTAAGTATTTAAAGCTGGCCACAAAGCTGTGACCTTGAACAAACAAGAATTTGGTCTTGGGTACCGACAGAGCCTGAAACCAAGGACAACCCTACTCGCGAGGGCCAAGAGCAATTTACTGGACCTGGAATGTGCTGGCGAAGGCCATAAGCAATTTGTCTGGAGCCGAAAGGGCCGTACTCCATCTACGAGCATATGTGGTTGGGAGATTCCCGCAAGACGGGTGATCCCTGAGAAGAACGGGACATCTCCACAGCATCAACTACTCAAATATTTAAAAAATTTATATAGCCGAAGAAGAGTAAATATACTTATGCATGAAGTTGTAGGAAAAAGTAATATTCATTTCCTATACTGAGGACACGGAAAGAAGTCCCACGGATTAGTTCCCACCCTCCCCTACTAGCGCTACGGTCGAGCTTTTACGCTCCCCACCACAGCGTACTCCCCTATATTCCCCTCCAGCCGTCTAGCCTTTCGGTTCGCAGAGATGTTAGTAGTGAGAGCCTTCACTGGCTCGCCGCCTGCTTCTATTGGTTTCTCGTTTGGCTCACTCTCCGATCTTGAAGATGGAAACGATATATTCCTAGAAATTTCGGGCTCCCATCGAACTATACGGTGTCACAACTCACAGGACCGTATTCTGACATCAGACTGTTTTATCGGCTGAAGTAACATTGTTATTTGCACTGAATTCACTCAAATTGCATTACTTAACAAGTTCCTCAGAGTCTGGTTCATTCTCAATATACACACAGGTCATGTCAAGCAAAGAATGAATGCAGCGTGTTAAGCGTTTAAGCTGGCCATTTGCTCCCTCATCTTACTTACATTGCACACCACCCCTCTCCAGAGACTATCTGCTTTATTATTGTCACGTGTTAAGAATGATTCTCGACGGGATTTCGGAATATGGATTGGATTTATTGTTTACTGACAGTTCTTAACTACAAATCACTATAACACTATCGCTAATTTCCACACTTTAAAAATCACTACACCTCACGCTGAATCTTTTCAATCTTCTGCAATCTCTACCAGGCATTTCTTGGTAACGGCTTCTAACAGTGTGGATTCTTCAACTGCGCCGACCAAGCTTTTTCTTCACATGATTCCATTATAACTGACTTCTCCCGGTTTCGTTGTTGAACTCTAATTGTTTCCTCAGAGACGCTACACAGTAAAGGTTGCGTATACTTGTTTATTATGGATGTGTTACCTAGCAGCGGATGTAGTTTCACCGTTTGTTTCAAGGTCGTTACCTAGTAACGGGACTACAAGCTACATTGTTTTTACTTATTGAGCCAAGATAGAGCAGTTCATATAGCGAACGGCTATAGTGGGGAGGCAGAGTGTTCGAAGTTCGAGTCCTGGTAGAAGCAAGATTTTTCTTCTCTCAACTTCGGCCAGACCGGTTCTGGGGTGCACCCAGCATCCTATCCAGAGGGTACCGGGGACTCTTTCGACGAAGGTAAAGTGGCCGTGGCGTGAAGCTGACCACTCACCTATATCTAGAGCCTACGCCAAGAATCCAGGGATCTACGCATCTCCTCCCGTATCAAGAAAAGTGGTTATATACTTCCAGTTTAAAATAATTTATATTAATGAAGTGAAATGACATGATTTTTTAGTTGAAATTAAGCACCGAGAGGGACAGAGTGGAAGAAAAATTCTTTTATGTGAGGGAAGGCACATAAAAAGGAGATAGGGTGCTAAGCTGTCGGATGGAGAAGAATCTATGTTCATTCTTTCCTTGACCGGACTGTGGTACAGAATAGTTTGAAAGCGCGAGAGAGTCTGGTTTTCTTTAAATCCCCAAAATTACAGCGTAACACTTCTATGATGACTCCTGACACACATTTTCTTAACACGATAAAATGTGTTTTGGTCAGGATGAAATATTCTGCCATGACCTATTCAGAAGCTATATTTGAAGTATTTGATTTTATTCCTAGCATATAAGCTTTAGAATTATCAAGTCAAGGAGAATGAGCTGGATAGGGCATGTAGCATGAACGGGGAAGAAGAGAAATTTATATAGGATATTGATGGGAAAGCCAGCAGGAAAGAGGATGAAGACGTAAGTGAGCGGATAATATTAAAATGGATCTTAGGGAGTTATGTACTGGACTGATGTGGCTCAGGATGGGGAGCAGTGAAAGGCTCTTGTGAACACGGTAATGAACTTTCGGGTTCCATAAAATGTTGGGAAGTCCTTGAGTATCTGCACAACTGGAGGTTTCTCAAGGAGGGTTCAGCTCCTTGAAAACAGTTAAGTTAGTACACGATTTGAACATTTACCCCAAAACTTACCTTTTTCTGAAATACCTTCCTGTACAACGTCAATACATTCTCTGACAGTCTCATTGACTGAGTATGTCAGGTTTGAAGGCACATCACAGCATCTCTGAAAGAAGGATAGAATATTTTAATGAGGACAAGAAAATTTGTGAGCTGGACACACCGATCCTATCTGCCCCGTCTGAGGAAACAACTACACTGGGACCGCTGAAAGATGTCCCCTGGACGGTGAGGATGTTGGTCCTCAAGACTTTCTCCTTACTGTCTAATGTTGCTTTCCAATCCAGCCCCCCTGGCCTGTGTCAACAAGCACAAAGGCCTTGTCGTTATGGAAGGTGGCCACATTGTTAGTACTACTGATACATCTATGAAGAGAACGGATGGAAATAAATAGAAAAATGCACCTCGGTGGAGATATGTACAGTTTAGGTACAATGGATTTGTTTGTGTTGCTTCAGTATAGTATATGGTTTGTTAATAGATCATCAGATGTACTTATGAGGTTAGCCCTTTGAATGTCAGTGAATACTATATAAAGCACCCACTTTAACAAACTAAAATTCTTCTTTCTGCTCACAGAGTCTCTTTGTAGGTTTCCTACGGTTCCCACATGGAAGGTGGCCACATTGTTAGTACTACTGATACATCTATGAAGAGAACGGATGGAAATAAATAGAAAAATGCACCTCGGTGGAGATATGTACAGTTTAGGTACAATGGATTTGTTTGTGTTGCTTCAGTATAGTATATGGTTTGTTAATAGATCATCAGATGTACTTATGAGGTTAGCCCTTTGAATGTCAGTGAATACTATATAAAGCACCCACTTTAACAAACTAAAATTCTTCTTTCTGCTCACAGAGTCTCTTTGTAGGTTTCCTACGGTTCCCACGGTATTCAGCGATTATTTAGCTAACCAGCATTAACCGGTTGTTCTTTGGAGTGGAGACGTAATAGGTTTCCTGCGAGGTACGAAATTAATTTGTATATATTATTTCCCCCTCGTTGGTGTCTCCACCTTATCGTGGTGAGGGGGTTTGAGTATGCCAAGGACCCTGAGAGCTATACCAGCGGTAGCGTAGCTACTGGCAGGGCCTCCCTTGCTGGACAGGTCAAAGGGTAGGCATCAGACGAAGAGAGACACCAAAAACCAAAAACTGATGCCGGAAGCAGCGTCATCAGCATCGACTTGAAGCACAGAACAAATGATGCTCGAGATGGTTCAAGTTCGTATAGCAACAGGCGTGACCAGAGTGGTTTGAACGGCTGCTGTACTGCGATGTGGAAAGCAAATGGAAAAACTACCACATTATCACTTTTCCTGGATAGTCTCTTTCCAAAAACAGAAGATCACATTAAGTGGAGGAACTGTTTTGGAAGAGACTGTGGACCTGTCATCTGACAGTTACTGATCAATCAATATTATTTATGCGAATTTGAGTCCTGAAAGAGTTAAGTTCAATTATTTATTGTGTTAATGCTTCGTCTCAAGACACTACGTGTATTTTTACGTGTTATTAATTAATTTAATTAAATATAACAAAGATGTGTGACAAGTCTGAAGACGATATCATAATCTAAACTTGTATTTACAGTGTAGTTATTTTTTATATTATGTCCTACACATTAAACTTTTAAAGTCTATACCAGCTGCGTTGACATTAAAAACTCCAGTTTTTCAAACAGAATATATTTATGTGTTTCGTATATTTCTGAGAATAATCAGGGGCTATTTACCTATACGTTATTAAGCGGTCGCATTTGAAATGGACAGGTAGTTAATTCCCTGTGTTACAAGAATTGGATTTTTTTTAAATCTTATTCAGATGAACCGAACAGTGCGTATACGGGAAACCCTGTGGCCTGTCATGTCTAAACACGTCTTCTCTATTTCTCTCTCTCTGTTGAAGCAAATGCTAAGATTCCCCAAGTTCTAAGTTGCTAATGTGTGCAACTCATGGAGCCCCCCTCCCAGCTTTGAATTTGTCACAATGAGATCCTTTGTGCTGAGGGTTTTCACTTTATCTTATATAAATATGCATTTGAAGTTAATCTGGAAATCAAAATTCCTCTGAACCTTTGGTAACCACGTGCCAGAATACAGAGTAACACACTTGTATACCAGAAGTTTACTATCCAAATCTTCATCGTCAGCACCAGACTTCATTCTCTGAGTCCTACACGTACCTCAAAAAAGTAGTTTTCCATTTTCTCGTGATCTGTCTCATTTACTTTCTTCTTGGTGACCTTTATCGTCTCCTTGAACTCCACGTTGCCCGTGACAATGATCGTGTCGTCGCCTTCGGATCCTGTGATGACGTTCTGCAATACTAAATGGGAAAAACATAGGATGATAAATAATAATAACAGAGCGCTGTTAACCGCAGCATCGATTGTCTTCAAGATATCTCCTCTGCACGGGCCCCACGGAAAACACCGTCTTCTTTACTTAATGATGCTTCGTTGCCTAGCAACAGACGTCCTGTTGTTCCGTGCGTTTGCTTGGCGTAGACCGCATATAACACACAGTTTATCTTATATTGTTCTCACGTTCTTAAAGGGGGTGTTTACCGGCTGTGGCACAGAAACAGCAGTTCTTCTATTGTTGCTGTATTCGTTGACGTGAGAATGTTTACAATATTCCTCAATTGTTATAGAAACAGCCCATATGTCACAATATTAATTTTGTTTTTTGTAAATGTATATATTTTTCTTTTCCCAGTTCACAGTGTTAACTTTATGTGTGTTAATAGATTTATTATTATTATTATTATTATAATAATATTCTTGTAATATTCTTGGGGATAAAGGATTGCCAGCGCGTAATGCTGACAACCTTACTGCCATCTATGCGCCGACTGTCTAGAAAATATGGGAACCTCAACATCTCACAACCCTATGGGTTTCCACGGACTCTTACAAGGATACTTTTACTTAACTCTATCGTTCTTGCAGCCAACGGCCATACCAGGTTGAAAACACCGGTTCCCGTCCGATCACCGAAGTTAAATAACATTGGATGTGGTTAGTACGTGGATGGGTGACAGCTTGGGAACACCACGTGATGTTGTCACTTCTTTTTTTAATTGGTGTTGCGGCTGTTGACTTGGTCATAAGTAAGATTTGAATTGAATTATTATTACTAGCTTTGTTATTAACCATATTATATACATTTTATTGTTTTGTGTTCTATGTTTTCTTTAGTCGTGCTCGCGTTTTCTTTGTCTTTGGGCTGTTAATTTGGCACGTAAATAAATAAGAATGTAATTTAATTGACTGCTACTCTCACGTGTACTGCAAATTGGCCAGCATACTGCCACTGTTACCTTTACTACTATTATCATTTACTGTCAAAAATTTTGCTGCTACTCCTACAACTGTCCTGCATAACAAACAAAAACAAACTCCGTGGTTTTAGCCCGCAAGCGAACTATAGCGACCGAGCGACCGCCACTTGTTGGCGAAGTTAGTGCCAATTTTAGCTGATAGAGGGTGTCGCGTGTTCAGCGCAACGAATCTCCACTGCTGTTAATTTCGGTTTTCTAGACCGGAGCAGCTATTTCCTTGAAATAGCTCCTCAATTATCCTCACGAGGCTGAGTGGATCCCGTTCCAGACCCACTACTTCTCAGAAAATCTGGTAGCGCCGGGAATCGAACCTGGGACCTCTGGATCTGTAACCAGGAACTCTGGCCACTAGACCACAAAGACGGTCACTGTCCTGTATAACCTTTCGTTAAATAGAAATTGGAAATAGACCCTACCTGTATTCAGATGACGTGCTTGTGGTGGAAGATACATCTCTTCGCCCCACGCAGACACGCTGCAAGCCGCAGCCAAAAGCGTTAACATACAGGGCGACACCATTGTGACCAACTGTGTTTGCGTGTGTGGTGCTTAAGTTTATATAACGATGAGCAGCAGCAGCGAGTTGATGACACTTGCATCATGTGACAATGATTACACGCATGATGAGCACGTGATCCCCCTGTTTCAAGGCTGACCACGGAGTTATGATTTTAATGTGACAATTGTATATAGAAGCCTCTCTCCAGGGATGATAAAAATTTGACTTTGAAATAAGATTCTAACGTCTTTGTCATCATATTCTAGCTTAACCCTTTATCCATTCAAGCCTAAAATTCGTACAAAAATATCTAAAATTTCGATTATACCTCACACAATACAGGGCCCACCTTCTTCGCAAAAGCAACCGGTAAATGCTGTTTAGGAAAATAGTAGCAGCTTATTCTTACAATGGCACGAAACTTATAATTACGTTGTGTCTGTATAGCTCTATATTTTCTTGTCCTCGGCAATACTGAAGGTGAGTGGTCAGTTTCACGCCCCGGCTGCCTTATCCCCGGGGAAAGAGCCCCGGTATCCATTTGATAGGAGGTTGTGTGGACCACAGAGCCGGCCTGGACGACATTGAGAAGAGAAAATTCTTAACCCTACCGGCACTCGAACTCCGACCCGTCGAACGTCTAGCCCGTAGCCAGCCGCTATACCGACTGAGCTATCCCGGCTCCTTACCACTGTACTATAACGGATTAAAATAATATACAGCAGTCCCTCGTCAACCAATGGGGTTACGTTCTCGGTTAACAAAGCCTTTGCTGGCAAGAACAGGGCCTTGTGGGAAATCGTGGTTTATGGGAAAAACAACGGCTGTTGACTCTCTTTAGAGCCATAATAAATTTTCCGTTCCTGTACTGAACACCAGAAATAAACATAAGTAATAACATTACACAAAATTAGCATGTAAAAAGTATTACGTAAATTGTAATCTGGAAGCTGCAAAACTCGTTACGGATGCCGTTAGAATCATGCACAGAGCAAACGTGGATCTTTTGGTGCAGAAACGACCGACTGTTTTCAGTGTGTGACAAATTAATAATCCAGACTCTATCAAACTGAGGGACACGAGGTAGTGTAGTTGGTTGAGACACTATGCTACAAGTCGGAAGTTCGCGGGTTCAAGTCCCGATGAGGTCATTGGATTTTTTTCAATTGACCTCATCGTTCTGGCCGCACTATGGCCCTGGGGTGGACTCAGCCTCCAGCAGAAACGAGTACCAGGAATTAATTAAATAATATTCCTTGGTGGAAAAGCACGGCCGGCGCGTAGGGCTTGCCGCCATCTATGAACCAATAGTCTAGAAAATGTAGGAGCCTCGAAGTCCCACAACCCTATGGGCCTTCATGGCCTGTTACAGGGACAGCTTTGCCTTTACTTTATTTACTATCAAACTGAAACTAGATACAGACGGATAGCCCTAGATACTTTAAATCCACGGTTGGCCAAACAACAGTTGGTAAGGAATCGTTCTCTGTACCAATACTTGATAGTTCAGTCAGTAAGGCTAACGCTCACAGGATGGGGAACCAGGTTTGATCCCCAACAGGGACAGTGCATTTTCGTCCGACCACACTGCGGCTAGACCAGCTTCATGTTCAGAAGAGTCTCGTACACAATTTGTAACTGTGATAATTAATGACACTTTTTTTTTCCTGCGTTACTTTCTTTTACGATATATATCTTTGTTATATTATTAAAATATCCATAAACAGATGTTTAGCTTTCCCTAAATTTCAAAACAAAGAAATAATATTAGTTTAAATTATTTTCTGAAATTATTCAAATTATACTGAAAATTGCGGTGTGCTTTTGGTCGTCACAATTGCGTATAATATACTAACATTAATAAACAGTTTGTATGATAGTGGTATGTATGTGTACCGCCTACTTGAATGTTGAATAACATGACGTATCATCTATGTATTTTGTTTATGAGATTCACTGCTTTCCAAAATAAAATACAACGGTTTGCATAAACATAGTTGAGGCTGGTGACAAAGGTACTGTTTGTACTCCCTGAGTCAGGAACCGACATTTGAAACTTGTTTAGATAGATTTCGCTTTGTAAAGGTTTATACTGTAAGCGCAGCTTTGTGCGCAGTTCATTCAGTGAACATTTTTTCTAGCAAGTTATCACGTGTGTGCAGTTAATCAAGGTCGGCCATTATTCGAGTCGGACGCGTGACCGCATCCTGGTGAAACCGGAGACAGGACACATGACCCGGCTGTCCCATGACATTGTTCTGTTTCTTAAAGTTCACGATTGCGACACTTAACGTCACGCCATTCTCTATACGTTGCTTTGAAAATGATCATTTCTCTGCACGAATTTAGTGTTTGTAGCCCGAGCAAGAGTTAATTTTTTTTAACTATTCTGACTTGGATTCGGGAACTACCAGATTCGGTTATTGTCTGGAACACCTGCTGTCTTGGCTTACATTTTCGTCAGTTTTCTCACTACGTTCAGGTGAGCGCCAGACATACGCCGTTCGTTCTTGCGTTTAGACGCGGGTCAACATCGATGGCCAATTGTGCCTGAATAAAACTCAGAATTGACCACTCTTTTTGAGCCGGGATAACGTAGTCGGTATAGCAAATAGCTACTGGCTGGACGACCGAGAAGTCTGAGTTCGAGTCCCGGTGGGGTCAAGAATTTTCACTTCTCCATGTCGTTCAGACCGGCACTGGGATCCACCCAAATGGATACTGGGGGTTCTTTCCAATCGAATAAAGCGGTCGGGACGTGAAGCTGATCACTCACCTCCAGCTAGTGCCAAGGTCAAGAAAGCTTGGGTCTATATACCCACTCCCCTATACGCCTTCATGGTGTAGTGTTTTCTCAGGTACAGGAACAATTTTGCCTTCATCTTTTACCTTTATGTATCACTCTTTATGGAATCCAACAATATATTAATCAAAGACAGAGTTTTACCAGACTGTGGATTGCTTTAACACCTGATATAAAGTTCAGTAGAGACAAGAGCACACATTGCTTGGCGGCGGTCAGGCATGCGGTCTTCAAGTGACTAGACTGCCGTGGTAGCGAATACTCCTAGAAATAGGGCATAATCTGCTGTACTGAGCCTAGACTGACAGGGATCTTGTATATGTTATGCATACTGGATATTAAGACTTAATTGTAAATAAGTGTGCATAGTGACAATGGACTAATACAGGGTGACTCGTATAGAGCCGGCCCGATGAATTTGCTAATAATTCCGCAGGTGATGCATATAACCGCTCACAATTACGACATAATAATCCGTGGGCCGTGCTGAGTCGAATGGGGTGCGCATGATCCGGCAAGTGGCAGCCCTTATGCTGCAAGGTCAAGGTCAATGCCGAAACGTATCTGCAGTGCGCAGGCGACAGTCATGGAGTTCACTGTTGAACAGCGAGTGTTTCTAATGTCTACTTGAAAACGGCGGACACTTTAAACACCTGCTCTGATCACGGCACACAATCCAAGATAAGATATGTGTAAATTACTTTAATATCTGTATGGTATATATTATATTACACCTCATTTCGTCGTGCCGGTTCTATATGAATCACCCTGTACTATCGACTATGACTGACAAATGAGAGGCCCGACCTCTCATCAGAGAGGGCTCCCCACATGGACAGGACTGTTACTTTCATGAGCCCCAGCCGGCGCTCGACACCAAGACAGAATGACTGACCGTCAGTCGCAATGTGACTTTGACTTGAGTACATATTGTATTAGAAGACGTCAACAAAGCAGGTTGTGTGTGGACGAGACACGGATATCGGTAAAAATGGTAAAGCTGTTCGTGTAACAGGCTGTGGAGGCCCATAGGTTGTGAGACAATCAGCTCACAGATGGCGGTGTGGTCGTCAGCATTATGCGTAGACCGCCCTTTACCCCGAGGAAGGTTCCTGTTACTCATTTCTGTTAGAGCCTGAATCGACCTCAGGACCACATTGTGGCTGAAAGGATTAGGTCAACTGAAAAAAAAAGACGTACTCAGGAATCGAAACCGTCACCTTCGGCTTCTAGCATAGAATCTCAACAAACAACGCTACTGCAGGCAAGCGATATCGAAAGCAATTTATATATCAGAGTTTATTAATATTTATGAAACATTACACACTCCACAATTGCTGTGAATATTTGTTAGTGGCGCAATAAACATTTGCATTTCCTGCTGAATACCCTTTATGCAGCAACATATACTGTCATCATTAATTCACACTGTACAAACACTTCAGTTCCTGCCTGTAATGGTAACATACTTTACCTCCAGAAATTAAAATTACATATTTATACGTATGTTTGCTTATTGTGTCCTAGTAGGATGAAACAGGAATGAGGTACCTTTAGAACTTTGGGTGTCATGATCTCGTCAAGTTTATTACAGCTGTAAGAGATCAACTACATGCAAGGCGTACGCCTTAAAATTTCACGGCACTGTTGAAATTATGACCGTTCTTTTGGGTTTTGATACCGTGTAATCTTGTAGAAGATATCGACATTTCAATAGAACATTCTACCTTCAACTTCAGCCTTGAAGACAGAGAAACTTTAGCGTCTGAAATCTCAGAAAATTTTAGTCTGAATAATGCGAATCTGTATAACTTCCTGCCGATCTTGTAATAGCTGGTCTATATTGACACTCCTTTTTTTTACTACTAGTGGGGTGGGACTAAGTCCCTTGTACTGCGGCCACTTCTGGCCTATTGTACCAGCCCCAGATGATAGGTGAGGGTGATTGTGGAGCAATTGGTGGAATGAAGATAGGCAGGGGAAACCGACGTACTCGGAGAAAACCTGCCCCAGCGCCACTTTATCCACCACAAATCCCACTTGACCTTGACACTCACTTAACCCTTTGAAGCATAGTGATAATTGTGTGTACCACACGTTTTGCTTATATAAAATAGAGCTTGGTTCCGATGTGTTGGCACATGCGTAGAAGACAATTTTTGTGTATGGGCGGAACGGACGAGTCCATCTGCAGACTTGAAGAGTAGGCAGTTCAGTTTGCTGTTGACAGTTGGGTTCTGCGT